TTAAATATCTTTGTTTTATTGTGTTTTGTATGTTACAATTCAGAACTGATTTTCAGGTGTGGGGGGGGATGGTCCCAATCAAAAACAAAAAAAACATGTTATGCATTCCTCAAAGCCTTGTACTTTAACTATTGTAATCACTAAACTGGATTTGATCGAATTTCTAGCGTTTTCATAAAATTAGTTATAGTGGGGGGGGGTAATAAATATAAAAAAATACTTCTGCCATGACTTTAATAAAAAAACATATTTATAATAATTTCAATCATCTGTGAATAGTTCCTGAAAGTTTCATTAACATCTGACAATTTTTATTTTTGCAAGATTTTCCAAATTAATGTGTGTCATACAAAAAAAAACGTATATGTTATTTTACTAGTTCTGGTGATACAAAGAGAAACAAGGTTTTTTTTAATCAAAATTTAAAATGTTCTAAAAAGGAAAAATTTTAAAAAATAATTAAAAAAAACTTTGATCTTTCCTCTTAATAATAACAAGCATTTAGACAATAAAATTTTGTTTTTGTAAAGTTTGGTGTCTTTCATCATGCTATGCTCTTTTTTTTTAGCGATCTCATGTAGGTACCTAGCCATAAATGACATTATCCTTTAAGGTCACGTTATTTAAGAGTTGTCCAGCGCTCTGCAATTCTTTCATTATTCAGTTCTGTTTTGTCTCTGGAAATTATCCCTTCAAAATTTTAAAGTAAGTTTTACTTTTTTTTAATTACTGTTATGTTAAACAAAGTAGTTATAAGAAGACTAACAGCAAGAAAGATGAAAAGACACGTCTGAATCAAGCAGGATATTTCATTAGACTATGATACAAATGTGTTCCTCATGCACAGTAGAGTTCCACTTTGAGCTTCTATGATCAAAAGGAGATAAGGGTGGTAATACTCAGATTCCATGGATAGTGATGATGGACTACATAACAATTACTATTTCACTAAATATTTTTATTTTATGTATTGATACATCAAAAACAAAAGAAAAAAAGGATCTGTCATAAAGAAATGCTTGTATATTTCTTTTTATGCTAACTAATGTTTGTTTCAAATCAGATTAATTTAACTTTAAATTTGATAATTTTACTCATATTTTTTATTTTTGTGAGATTTTAAAACTGATAATTCTGTTTTGTTTACAAATATTTTAAAAGTGAGAAAATGGTTGCTTGTAAAATTTTCTGAAATCGAACAAATATTTGACATTCCAATTTATAATTTCTATTTGAAATACACCAGAATATTTCATTTACTGGAAATATGAAATCTTTAAAAATGCTTTTTTTATTTTTAAAAATTCATTTTAATCCTAGTTGTAAAAAATTCAGTGAAGGTACCTAAATTTTTAAGAGGATGGAACTTTAATTTATCGAAATTTCATAAAATTAAATGGCGGTAACAGATGTAAAAAAAAAAAAAAAAATTACCAAGATATTCTAAAAAATAATTTCATTTGTGAATAAATTCTGAAAATTTCATTAAAATCCAACAATCATTTGATTTTTGCAAGAATTTCCAAAACAATGTTTTATCCGGGAAAAAAAAAAAGAAAAAAATGATGCTAAATTTCCCATAATCTTTGGCCGCTGACTAAGAAAAACAAAATTTTTAACCAAAATTTTGAACATGCTAGAAAAGAAAAAGTATTAAAAAATTATACAAAAATAAGTTTGGTCTTTCCTTTTAATAACAAACATTTTCACAATAAAACTTTATTTTTCAAGTTGGGGGCCTGTTTTTATCATGCTATGCTCTTTTTTAGAAAATTTTTGAACATATAATGCTATATTTTTAAAAAAGAGAAAAATTCATTGATATTTCATAAAAAAACTTAAATGAAATGAGTATTAAAAATAGATTTTCTAAAAAAAAAAATATATAAAATGAAACATTTCAAAAAATAATTTAATTAATTTCTGAATAAGTTCTGAAAGCTTCGTTAATTTTCAAACCCATGTTTTCACTGCAAAAAGACAATCAAATTTCCTGTACAAATTTAAGGGGATGTGCATGCTGACAGAAAATTTTTTTAAAATTTATTTTAATTTATATTTCCAAGGTTTAAAATTAAAAGGATTTAAAAAAAATAATTTTTGTATAAAAAAAATCCTTTAACAATAACAATACATTTTTTTTTTATGTTTTGGTTTTGGGCACTTCATTTTCTTTTTTTTTCCATCATATATCCCCATTTTTAGTGAATATGTGGTACCTAAAAGGGTAAATTTCTATTTTAACACCTGCGCTAAATATCCCTTAAAATTTTCCAAAATCGTCATAATTCCATGCAAATGTACATGCTGAACTCAAATTAACAGGTAAATCATGAAGAAACCTACCATTTTGGAGTTATTGGCAAAAAAAAAAAAAAACGAACTTCTTGTTGGTCTTTCATCCCTTATTACTGCCATCATGAGTACTGATTCACTGCGTAGTACTTCTGGTGGCCTTTGGCCTATTTACTTCTATTACAGACTTTCCTTGCAGAAAATCACTACGCACTACCGTAAAGAAATGTAATTTTTTTTTTTGGTAAGTGTAGTTTTATTTATAACAAAAAAAACAAATTAAATAATACAATATAATCTTTTTTCTGTTTCGAATAGCAATGACAAATTAAGAGAAAAAATTAAATAATAAAAATAAAGCATTTTTTATATTTTTTAATTTGTCCCCTTTTCTACACAGAAAGAAAACCCCATCCCTAACCTTAAAGTTAACCCGGTTTATTGTATTATTTAATTTTTTTTCTTTTTAATTTGTCCCCTTCTCTACACAGATTAACTTTAGAGTTACGTGTTAAGGTTAGGGGTGGGGTTTTCTTTCTGTGTAGAAAAGGGGACAAATTAAAAAAATTAAATAAAATAAACCGGCTTAACTTTAGGATTAGGTGTTAGGGGTGGGGTTTTCTTTCTTTGTAGAAAAGGGGACAAATTAAAAAAAAATTAAATAATACAATCAACCCTTCTACTTTTACCAAGTTTGTGCATTAATTTTTGTTTTATTTTCAATTTTAAAATAAAAAAAATGCTTTATTTTCATTATTTAATTGGTTCTTTTAATTTTTCATTGCTATTCTACACAGAAAAAAAGGTTTTACTGTATTATTTAATTTGTTTAAAGTTTCCTGTTAAGACTACAATTATCAAAAGGAAAAAAAAAACTAATGCATAGTGATTTCAAAAAGAGATAGTACCCCGCACCGTATTACTAAAAACATTATGGCATTAATGGGGGACGAATGACCAACAAGAAGTCCGTTTTTTGGGGGTTTGTTTTTTTTTGGGGGGGTGCCGATAACTCCAAAGTAGGTTTCTTCATAATTTACTTGTTCAACATGTACATTTGCATGGAATTATGACGATTTTGGAAAATTTTAAGGGATATTTAGCGCGGGTGTTAAAATAGAAATTTACCCCTAAAAGATATGTTCCTAATTATTAGTAAAAAAAAAAAAGTTTTACTTTTTTACGCGATTTTAATCTTGCATTAAATTCAAACAGAATGTATTCTTCCCACTTTTCAAAATTGATCTTTATTCTCTTTGAACTGTACGTAGGAAAAATGAACAACAGATGTCGGTTTACGAAGCCAGAAAATTACTCATTCAAGTTTGGGAGCAGTATTTTTGTTTGTAGTTAGCATGATGAAAGTGCGAAAAACGAATGTAGTAGTAACAAAAAGAAAATAAATAAAATCCAGCTTTTGCAAAAATTATTTAAACAGAAACTTAAACTGAAACATAATTATTATTTTCCGTTTTCTCGATATTTTCAATCCACACTACCAAAATATTTTCGCTATTTTCTTAGAATTCTAAAGGTTTTTTTAATTCATTGTCCTTTCGATAATGGAATTTCTTTAAAAATGGAATCTCTCTAAACTACGGTAGCTGGTGACAGTTAACCTGGTCTCACGAATGCGTAATTAGTTCGGTTCTTACAGGGTGCCCCATTACTTATATAGCCTTGTGCTAAATTCTACGCTAGTCAACTACAGTAGATGTGCATTAGTAAATTGTTTACTAGTGTAATGTCACAATATTGGTTTTTAATTCATAGAGACCTAGAGTATCATGCGATTTTCCATTATTTTGAAATAACAATGTGCACGGCGCAATAACAAAAAGAGAAAGTAAAAGTTTTTCTTCTGTCCCCCCCCTCCAAAAAAATTGTCGAATTGATTTTTGACTATCAGAATAACCGTAAACTTCCAGATTTTATTTTTTGATAAATAATTTAAAATGAAAATGTGATGGCATTAAAAAGTATACATATTTCGGCGCTATTACAATTTCGCACCCACCTCCGTTGCTTCCTGTCATTCAGCAATAGGTTTCCTCACATACGACAGTCTGGCTGGAAACAGTTCTGTTTGTTATTGTTAATTATACTATTTAAATTAAAATATAAATTTCGAGAAATAAAAATCAATGTTTGTAAAATGTAAAAAATACTTTCAATTTTGTCAGCAGGTAAACTTAAACTGGTTAATTATCAAATTCGAGAAAATCATCAGCTTCTTAAACTACTAATTGTTGAAGTATATATATGTCCCAGCATTATTCATTGCATTTATTTGCCTCAAATAAGGAGAGGAAATTATACACAAGGTCAGTTTAATGCGGGGCCAACACACGTGTGTTATATGATGTAGCGCAAAAATAATCCATTATTGTATGAGGCCCACATTTATCCAAACTGTCGTACCTGGGGCAACCCATTGGCATACTGAATGACAGGAAGCAACGGGGTGGGGGAGTGTAATAGCGCTTGTCTGTATTTCTTTTATTTCCGAATTCGATGAAGTGTTATTGTTTCATTTACATTTTAGCTCCCATCACCCCCCCACCAAAAAACATAATTACGTAAAAGGTGTTTTTTTTTTTTTTTTTTTTTTTAAAAAAAAAAAAAAAAAGGGGTTCAAGAAATCAAAATAATTGTTAATGTTGTTTCAATTGAAATATTAAGAGAACGGGGAAAATACTACTTACAAATAACTACAAAGTATCAAAGGACTGTGTGGTTGATATGTTGCTCCACATGATTCATTCATACAATTTTGAGAGATACAAACTTTAAATAAGCAGAAAAAAATGAGATAGGTTATTATTCGTAAACCGTCCAGCACCATAATTGATTTCTTTTTCATAAACCTTTTTCGAGTTATCGAACTTGGTAATGTGCACTCTCCAGTGTCAGCCAAATAAGCACAATAAGAAAGACATTCTTATAAAAGACGAATGAGTTTGTAATTTCAGGGCGCTTATGAAAGGGAAAAAAAATCATTTTTGTATCATGTTGTACAAAGGTAGTTCTAAAATGACTTACAGGAAGGCGGGCAGAAGAATAATTTTTACGAGAATAATTATTTGAAATGCTGAAGCCGACTAATCCTGAATTCAGCATTATTAACCAACGACCAAGACGTTTAAAAACGGTTAGCGCCCCATTAAATTTTTGGAATCTGTAATCATCTTATACTTATAATCAGAAAAATACAGTTGAAATTTCTAGGACAAAAAAAGGGTCTGGAAAAATTAACATTCACAAGACATAAAGTGCAGGGTTGTAATTAAATTAATTCACCTAGCGTAACGATGTTGTATAATCGAAGGTAGAACAGAAAGGATAGTAAAAAAAAAAAAAAAAGTAAAAAGACAAATATTCCTTAACTATAAAAAGTAGGAAGTTGTAAAGAGCCATGAACACCCATATCCTAAAGAGAAACGGCATATAGAAGAAGGTCATCGTTGTTTGGTTTTTCCTCTTTTGGTATTTTTTCAAATTTTAAGCCTCTCCAAAATAGAAAAAAAAAAGGCTGAAACAACACAAGCGACACTACAGACTTAGAAAGACAAAACAAATGAAAAACACATTTTAAATAATTTAAATGTCTTTAAAATTAGATTTTGGTTTTATTTGAAAGATATAACCTAAAGCTAATTCTTAAAATAAGAAAAATTTCTGAATGTGAATAAAATTTTTAGACATTTTAAAAACATTTGCACAGTCCCTCATCACTCATCGAATCTCCATTATAACGAAAAATATAAGAACAAATTTGAAAACCTCTGAAAAATGTAGTATTTGTCATAGAGATTAGTGAATTTAAGGATCAATTTAACTGAATTTTGTAAAAGTAATGCTTTCTTTTTGCTTAAAACATATATCTTGGTCGGCTCGGATTTTTGTGGCCTAGCATATGTGCTGATTCCTTAAGTTTACGAATTTTCCAACGGTGTTCCTTGTCTATGATCTCAACTTGATCCCACAGAGGGCGGTGATCTCTCTTCTCTTTCCATATATGGTCAGCCACGCCTGACTTTTCCACTTCCCCTCGTGTTACAGCTTTCTGGTGTTCTTGAAGCCTTACCTTGAGGGGGTGACCTGTCTCTCCTTTATATTCCTTCTGCAAAGAGTGTGAGTTCAATTTCCGGTTAAGGCAGTGGAGAACTTTCAGAGGGAAATTAACAGGAGATAACTGATAACTGACATCCATCAAACATGGCACGTGGAACTAGAACAATCTACCCCAGTGAGCGAAATAAAGAGTTCAGTTCGACATTCCAACCACCTGAAGAAGGCCGGAGTGTACAATGGCCGAAACATTGTAATAAATATGGCGAAAAAGATGAGGACAATAGTCCGAATAATGTAAATAATGTACATAATACCTCATCTCAGAAATATAGGCAGACACTGGCGTACATATAACTTTGCAGACTCACTTGCAACAAAATAACTTTGAACTTTGCAAATTGACTTGCAACAATTCACTTTGTACACTCGAACTATTGGTCTCTTTATCGCCACAACAAAGACAATTGAATTCTAATATGTAAATATATGTATCTACTGTATAAATGTTATTGTCATATTTAACTTTTCTTTCTTTTCTGCGGAGATCATTTCTTCACGTTGTTATAATTTTGTATTGTAATTTGTGGACATGACACTCGGATTTTATTTTTCCACTTAAAATCCGAGTAGGCTGAATACACGAATTAGCAGAAACATTTGAGTTTTCAAAGAAAAATGACCAAATCAGTGACCGTCTTATGACAGAACTACAGAATAATGACCTATCCAAAAAATAGCAAATAATTCCTGATTTGAAACTCGAGAAAGCTACGGAGATGACCAGGAGCAATTAGAAAATAAATACACGAGAAAAATGTAGACGAACTCAGAGAAACTCACAAGACACAGCAATCAAAAAAAAAGTCGAATAAAACGAAAACAGCAACAGTAGATGTAACAGAAAACAAGATTTTAAAAACTGTCCATGGAAAGGGAAACACTGTAAGAAGTGCGGGAAAATGAATCATTTCGTTGTAGCCCGCAGAACTAAAATTACAGTAAACGAAGAAAAGAAATATTTCCTCAGAGAGCTAACAAAAACAAATTAAATGACCCGTGGTATAAAAATTTGTAAAACATCGGTAGGGTTTTAAATTAATACAGGCGCCGACATAAACATTATCTCAACCGACATTTATAAAAATCTGACAGAAAAAAAAAGTTTTTAAAACCAGTAAATGGTTTCACAATTCCTGGAGGAATAGTTCAATGCACTGGAAAATTTAATACTGCTACAGAAGGTAAGGACAAATGTTTTTTTGGAGATATATGTCATTAAATGTTGAAAGGGAGAGACCTTATGGTCTAGAAAAACGGCTGTAAAATGAATTTAATGAATCATTTAGAAAAAATAGAACAGGAAACTTCATTTGACGCCGGTGAGTGTATGAATGGAGACCAGTTAAAATAATTCTGAAAAAAAGCCCTTTACCCTACAGTGTAGCAGCAGCTAGGAGAGTCCCATTCCCTATTTTATAAAAGGTGAAGGAAAAATTGAATAGACTGGAAAACGAGGAAATTATTGAAAAGTTTACAGAAGCAACTGATTGGTGTGCGCCTTGAGTGCCCGTAATAAAAAGAAACGGAAAAGACCTGATATATGTGTAGATTTGAAGAAGCTGAATTGAGTAGTGCAAATGGAACATTACATGTTACCAAATTTAGATATTTCGCCAAACAATTTTGATTTGTAATAATTCATTTTGTAATTTAGAAAAGTTAGAAATAAACTACCTTAGGAAGGGGGATGTTTATAACAACATCAATAATGTTGATTATTATGATGATTCTAATCACTTCCGGTCCCGCTATGGAATGTTGGAAGCAAAACGGATTCAGCGGCAGTTTGAATAAAGTTGTTAAGTTTTACCACGTCTCGTGTCATTTTTGTGTTGCTTTAACTTTTCAGTGGCTCATCTCATATAATTTATCTTTTTTACCCTAAGCCCAGTGGAACAGTTCCAATAACCACTCAAAATAGAGGATTTCTAAATGAAGTTGTAAGAAGAGGAAGTAAGAGCAAATTGTGAGGACATGTTTAGATATATCAGAATATTAGGAATGTGAAGAAACAAGGTAACTAAACGTTAACATCCCCAAGTAGTACGTGTAAGATGAAAAAAGATGAAAGCGTTTTGTTGAAATTAAAGCAAAATTCGCTACCCACTGCTTTAAAGCATTTGCCAAAAATTAGGGAATTATCCGATTCAAATGAAATTTTTAGTATTTATTGATGAATGAATTATATACTGAATAGGTTATTTTATTAAAAAACAACTTTATGGAAGTATTTGTTGGATCAGTTTCACCCACCTTTTATATTGTGTGTATGTTTTAATTTGGGTAGGGTATAAAGAACATCCTTGAAGATGTTGTTTCATTAAAAAAATTATTCAGTATCAAGTGTGAATATACTGAAATTTCGTCCTCAACCTTAACAAAATAATTCAATAAAACTCAAAGATTTTTTTTTAGAGTTGGTGCTTGCATAATTTCAAAAAACATTATTTTCTTTCAAACCAGACGGAAAAAAATCTACATTTAATATTTATTTTTTAATTCCCTGTAATTCTACAATGCGATTTCGTTATTTACTCTTAAATTCAGAATTATAAAAAAGGAAAACATTGGGTGCAATTAAATATTTTATGGCATAAAAACAATAAATAAAAATAAAAGCAACGAATTAAACTGAAAATTATCATTTAATTACTGTTATTAATTAATTATTTAGTTAATTATTGTAAAATAAACTTATTCATTCTATTATCTTTCATAAAAGCTTAAATAAAAATGATATTCTTAAACTTATCGGTTTTATTGTAGCGATAGAAAACTAAAGGAATAAAAATAAACAAATAATAACAAGGATATCAAAATTTCATCATCTCTAAAAATAGATGTATATTCAGAATCACCTGGCGACAAAGCCATATTTGACCAACCGATCAGAAGGGTTTCACAAATATGGCATAAGACCCTTAACCAATGAAAATCAAAGCGGCGCTTTCAAAGTAGATCTCTCTCTCTCTCTAAAACCAGAATCGGTGAATCAATTTTATCCATTCTTTGATGCTGCTCTCATAACATACCCGGAGCTGTCCTGCTACAATTGAAAACATATATCCTTTCCTTCACCCATATTGTTAAGCATTTGGATACGCACATAAATATATATTTACTTCCACCCAAACTCCCCTCTCTCTCTCCCCCCTCTCTCTCCCCCTCTCTCTCTCTCTTTCTCTCTTATGCGCCATGACTTTTACATTGAACTCTTGAAACTTCAACTTTCACCTGTATTATTGTTATATAGATAGTTATATTGATCAACATACTTTGCATTTTCTTTTAATCATAGCACAATGCCAATATGCACCCAAACTAAATAGTGATATACGGTGGGAACAGACGATATCATAACATTGACAACACTTTCATAATATAAGGTTAAATAAAATTTATTTTTAAACATAAATACCAATTTCTTGATTATTACGCTGTCGGTGTTCCGTATTTCTTATTAAGTCAGTGATTAAAGGACAAAACTGTTTGTGACCTATGGCATCACAGAAAACTGTGCGTAAATAAACGATATTTTCGTTAAGTTTTAAGTAGCTACCTCCAATAATTCGTTAAAAAATCATAATAGCATAATGATAAAAGGTCCCAAACTTAATAAAAACAAAATTTTAT